CACCATCACCACCATCACCACCATCACCACCATCACCATCACCATCATCACCACCATCATGCTCTCCTCTTGGGGCAGTCCAGGCTCCTTCTCGGTAGCACCCAGGCATTTCTGGGAGAGGTCAGCTCCCACCACCCACCCTCACCTTCTGCCTCCTCCGCCATCTCCTCCTCGTTCCCGCTCACGCCTGACGCCTCCATCTCCTCATCCTCCACCACGGGCGGGAAGGCCACCTCCTCACTGGCAGCAGCTGGTGCTTTCTTCTTCTTCCTCCGCGCGTTCCTCTCCTTCTCCTAGGGCACAGGGGTAGCAGTTGGTCAGGGCCAGGGCAAGGGCCTGGGCTGTCAGCCCGGGGACTCCTGGTGCCGGAGGCCTGCCACAGCTGCAAGGGACAGTGATCCCTCCACGTGGTCCTGAGGGTGCCCTTCCCCCCTCGTGCCCCACTGCACGGCCATACATGCCAGTGGTTATTTTTACCCAGAGCTTCATTCTTCCATCATGCCCCAGATACACCTGGGGCGCAACCTGGCCTATAGGCTGCCCAGACATCCTTCCGGAACAGATGAGGAAGGACTGCCTCTGCCTGGAAGCCCCCCATGATCGCTCCAGCCCTGCCAGCTGTCCTAGCCAGAGCAGTGACCACACCCTCTGGAGGACACACTGCCAGGCACGGTCAGTACACTGGAGAGAATGAATGAATGAAGCTTTTCCTTGCAGCCTCATCTGTCCCCAGCTGAGCCCCGGGGGACAGGCTAGCTTGGGCAGCATGTCATTTCACCCCACCAGTCTTTACAGGGCACCTCTTGTGTGCCAGGTACTGCCCCAGGGGCTGAGAATACACGACGAATGAGGAGACGGGGTCCCTGCCCCACAGGCCACCTAGTCGGGGAGATGAGCAATCAACACATCAATTAAAAAGACGACTCAGAGGTGGGGGCATGGCTGCTGAGAGGGACAGACAGGGTGGAGTGAGAATGCAAGGGCGGGGCAAGGAAAAGGCTTCTCGGAGGAGGTGACATCTGAGCTGAGGTCTGAGTCGTGAGAAGAAGCTGGCCAGGCAAGGCTCTGGATGAGTGGTCCAGGTGGAAGGAACTGCAAGTACAGAGGCCCAGAGGTGGAACCAGCTGGGTGGTTCAAGGAACAGAAAGAAGGCCTTCGCTGAGCAGCCCTTCACTTCCCTCCACGCCTCCCCCAGTCCCCAGAAGCCCTGCTCCCCACGCATGGGCCCAGGCACCCACCCCCAGCTCATCATCACTCCTCCTTGACAGCTCCCGTCTTTGCACCGCACTGGGCTGGGGGTTCCAGAAGGGTGTCTCTTTAGCCCCATGCTGAGCCAGCCAGAAAGTGCTGATTGACTTACTGAGTGACTGAATGGGCTGCGTCCAGGGCTTGAACACACGGTCGGCAGAGTCGGGGTATATGTGGAGGCAGAGTGTGCGGGGGGTCCGAGGTGACCAGGGGCTCCCAGGGGAGTGGACTGGTCCCTAAGAGGAGACCCGCCCCAGTACAGCTGGTGTGACGGGAGGGGTCGCAGCCTGAGCCCTTTGGGGTCCCTGAGGAAGGAGATGGAACCTAAACACTCCCAGACATGCCAGCAGCTCCCAGCGAAGCCCCTCACACTGGGCTGACTCGGTTCCTCCCAGAGTTCACGTCCACCCGAACCTCAGGATGTGACCTTTCTTAGAAATGAGCTCTTTGCAGATGTAATTAGGATGAGTTCATATTAGATTAGGGTGGACCCTAAATCCAAAATGACTGGTGTCCCTAGAAGAAGAGGGAAATTTGGACACAGAGGCACCCAGGGGAGGGATGCATCCCCAAGCCAAGGAACGTCAAGGATTGCAGGCCACCCCCAGAAGCTGGGAGCACAGGGCAGGAGCCTCCCCTGGAGCCTTCGGAAGGAGCGTAGCCCTGCCGACACCTTGATTTCAGACTCTTAGCCTCCAGGATTGCAAGAGGATATGTTCCTGTGCCAGTCTGTGGTGCCTTGTTACAGGAAATAGGAAACTAACGCACCTCCCCTCCGCCAATTCCCCGGCCCCCAGGAGAAAGCCACCATCACCGTACACAGCACAGCCCGCCCTCGGGCAGATGCGCCATCACCTCCAGGCGCCAGCCGGCCCTGCCCAGCCTGGCCCCCTCACCACGCAGGGCTGGGCGCAAGCCTCAGGGGTCCCCAAGCCCCAGCCCCTGCCTGGGGGGTGGGATCACTTCCTGTCCTGCCTTCTTCCTGAGCAAACGGGGGACCTCGGGGTGCAGCTGCTCAGAATTCGGGGAGGAAGAGGGAAATGTCTGTTTGCCCGTTAGTCACGGTTTCCGTCACCAGCACTCGGCCAGGACCACAGCCCCACCCTGCCGAATGTCCACGGGACCACTGTGGGAACGCCCAGCTCCACCATCCGCCTGCCTCTGGGGGCTGGCGCACCCCGGTCCCAAACCCCGAGCTTCTCCCGGAGGGCCCCCGGCTGGAGCTCGCAGGGGCATGAGAAAGTTGTGTGGCCTGTGGGTTTGTGGGTGCAGCTGAGGGATCCCCCTTCTTCCCCCATCTATTTTTAGCAGACAGGGACTCACTTGAGTGCTGGAGCTGGGTGAGGCAGGCGACCGGCTGCCCGGGGGGTGGGGGGATGCTCGGAGCCTCGCAGGGAACGGGGGCTCCTATGGGCCTGGCTGGGATGCACGTCCTGCTGGGAACCTGAGGTCTCTCTGAGCCAGCAGCCAGGCCACCTCAGGCCAAGTGGGGTGAGTATGATGTCAACACCAGAGTCCCCCCGGCTCTGGGTTTCAGAGGCTGGGACTTAGTGTCCCAGGAATCACACCAAACCCTTCCACACGTGGCCCCGAACCTCAAGATTGGGGCATGTGTATGGAACAGGAGATGCTGGCGATAGTAGTATTGGTAGTTACAGCTGATGTCTGTTAAGCACCTACTACGGGCCAAGCATTCTTTACTTATTAATTTACTGGATCTGCACGTCTACTCTGTGAATCAGAGCATGCCACTCCCTACCTCGAACTCTCCAGACGCTCCCGGAACCTCTTGATATAAAACCCAAGTCTTCCCCACTCCATACAGTCCAGTGCGATCTAGATCTGAACCCCGCCCAGCTCTCTAACTCGCTCACCCTCCTTGGTCTGTTAGAGACACACTGCCCTTCTTGTGCAAATGGGCTTACAATGCCCTGGCCACAGGGCCTTTGCACTCGTCACTTCTCTGGCTGGACAGCCTTCTCCCAGACACCCACATGACTCACGTACCCACCTCCATCAGGGCTTTGCTCATACATCACCTCCTCAGGGAGGTCTTCCCTGATTACCCTGTCAAAATCAGCTAATCTCGTTCCCCATCAATCACTTTCTACTACTATCCCTCATCTATCTTCAGACCACAATCTGAAATTATCTGTGAGTTAATTTGTCTCTAGAACTAGAATTAACTCAAGGGCAGGCATCTTTGTCTGTTCTCAGCTGTATTCCCAGGACACCTGGAACAGCGCCTGGCACAGAAGAGACACTCTGTAACTACTAATTTAGATGCATGAACCTGACAGACAAAGACGCTGGCCCAGAGAGGCAGAGACACTTGCCCAAGATCACACAGCTCGTGGGTCAAGAAGCCCAGACTTCAATGCAGGTCAGATTCAAGTACCTCCCTGTCTGACCATCTCTCTCTGCAGGCCTGTGCAGCCTCAGACGGAAGAGGCAACAGAGGAAAACAAGGCAAGGCGGGGCCTGGGCTGAGATGGACAGAGACAGAGAAACATGGAAGCTGAGCCCGAGAGCCTGGATTCACAGATGGGAGAAAAGGGTAACCTTCGGTCATTAGGAGGGGGAGGGAAAACCTTGGAGAAGTCACTGGTGCCAAATGTTACATAACGCTGGGACGCGCTCCGCCTGCCCGCCCGATCCTGCTTCCTGCTGACGTCGCCCGTAGCCACGCTCGGGCCAGGCCTGGTGCAAGGCAGGAGGGGACACCCGCTGACCCTCTGCCTCCCCCACTGCTTCCTCCACTGGCCGAGGGTGACGTGTCTTCCTGAGCTCCAGACGGGGCCCGGCCAGCAGGAATCACCAGGACCTGTCTCCCTCCCAGGGTCTGGAAGGTGTGGGACAGCATCTTGTGAGGACTGCTTGCATTCTCCAGTGACAGGGAACTCACCCAGGCACCATGGGTGGCCACTGTAAGGACTGACGGACCCAGGCTGATGGGCCCCCCATCCCTCACTGAGCTTTCTCCGCAGCCTTCAACCTAAGTCCGCTCGTTCGCTGTCAGCAGGGAACGAGAACCCGTCCCACTCTCCCCGACAGCCCTTTCTCGTCCACAAGTGACAAGCAAGGCTCCCCTGTTTGCTGGCCTCAGAACACGGCCCACCGGCCCCCACCTTCTGGTCCCCTGCTTCCCAGCAGGACCAGCCTCTGCTGAGTTCTGTGGGAGCCACGTCCAGTAATACAGGTATGGGTCCGGGAAGGGAAGCCAGGGGCTCCCACAGACTTGGGTTCAAACCCCCTCTGCGGTGTCTCCCTCCCATCCTCAGCATCTTCACCTGAGGACGGCGCCAATGGTGGCGACCTCAGGGGTCTGGGGGAGGGGCCCAACCTGGGCCTCGGGGTCCCCCTGCTGTTCTCGCCTCCTCCCCGGCCCACCAGCGATGCTGCCCAGCCACCGGCATGTTCAGAGTCTGGGGACAAGGAGGGCGACCGTCTCTATCAGCTTTGGCTACACTTCACTCAGACCAGCACAATTCACCCCGAGCCCAGCCCATGCTGGGTTGCCCCTCAGCTCACAAACCTTCAATGGCTCCCACTGTCCATTAAAGAAAGACCCAGCTCCTCTGCCCAGCAGGAAACCCCACCCACACGTATACCCGGGGCACCTGCCATTGCTTCCCTGGCATATAGTAGGTGCTCAATAAAGGCTTGCTGAGTGTGTGATGAGGATAACGCCCAACACTTATCGAGCGCAGACCGAGGGCCGGGGCTGGCCCTTTACAAATACGAAAGCCTCTGCTGCTCACAGCAACCCTATGAGTGGGTCTGGGTCTTACCTCCTTTTACAGAGGAGGCAGCTGAGGCTGAGTGGTAAGGCCACGAACCTGCGGGCAACAGTCAGGAGGCCACAGAGCTGGGGTGTGAACCCTCTAGCCCAGAGCCCTACTCCATACCATCGTGCTCGGCTGCCTCTTTGAATGAGTGAGTGAATGAATCAATCCATCGACTAATCAATCGCTCAGGCAATCCAGGAGCAGACATGCTCTACACCCAGTTAACAACCAAGGGAGACACGGCACCCAAGCCGCCAGGCATCTGGCGGCCATGGGCACATCACTACTGATGTCACCACCTCTGCTACCAATGATGCCACTACGGCTCTCTCTCGCGATGTGCCAGGCCCAGTTCTAAGCACTTCACACCCGTTCACTCGAATCGTTCCCACAACAGCTCTTTGAGGTGGGAATTATCCCCATTTCAGAAGTGGGGAAACTGAGGCACAGAGAGGACAAGCCACTTGCCCAAGGTCACACAGCGAGGAAGTGGCAGAATCTGGATTTGAACCTGGGTGTCTTGGGCCCACAGTCCCCACCCTGGCTGTTTCTGCACACATTATTCAAGAGAGCACCTTGAATGCCCCTGAGAAGAATGGGGTCAGTGGCTTTAAAATAAAATAATGATGATACTGATACTACTACCAGTAGTTAGAGCAGCTAACCCCCATGGAGCGCCCCCCTCTGGCAGGCACTCCGTCCTTTACATGTGGTAACTCATTCGCTCTTCACCCGAGTTCTCGGGGTAAAGGCTATCATTCTCCCACTTTACAGATGAGGAAACTGAGGCTCACGGGGTACAGCCGCTGCCCGAGGTCACACAGGTGCCAGATGAGGAAACTGAGGCTCACGGGGTACAGCCGCTGCCTGAGGTCACACAGGTGCCAAGTCATGAAGCTGGCGCTTGACCCCACTTTCGCCCTGGAGCCCAAGCTGCACCATCCACCTGGCTGGAATCTCTGTTTCCCCAACCCACCCTCTCAAGTTTTGGGGCCCCCAGGGGCGCAGCAGGGCCGTGCCCCAAGGAAACCTGGAAAGTGAGGTGGGGGCCAGTAGGCTGTGAGAGGAGATACCTGTAACCCAACAGCCTGGGCGAAGCGGGCTGGTGTGTGGGCACCGGCTGGGCTGGGCTGGGCTGGGCTGGGCTGGGCTGGGCCGGGCTGAGCAGGGAATGGGGGGAGGGGAGAGGCAGGGAGGACAGGTCAGAGGGAGAAAGGGATGAAGCAGGAAGATCCCTCTGTCCCTGGGGCGATGCTCAGGGCCGCACTCCCAGCCCAGTTAATCCTGAGTTGCTGTGTAGAGGCCGACATCCCGCCCCCATCCAACCACCACCACGGCCAGCACCACCATCACAGAGCTGGATCCTATCTGCGCTGCGGGATCTCAGCAAGTGTTACGGACAGGCGCTCCTTGGCCTTGGCCCTCACTGAGCCTTCCACCCTGCCGAAACCAGAGTCCTGAAAGCTCTAGAAAAAAGCAGAGCTCCCTGTGTTTCAGGGGGCCCTGCCTGAAGCTCAGGGAGCACCGGGAACCAACTGCACAGCAGGTGGGGAAGGGGCAGGAGGCACAGCCTAACCAGACACCACGGGGAACGGGCACAGGCAGGGGCCTGGCTGAAGGAAACCTGACGGCCAGCCTCAGCCCTGACCACAGGGCCATGGCACAGCGTCCCCCTCTGGCCTAGGATGCTTGGGGTGGGGGTGGGGAGCTGGGGAGGGGTGCCCCTAAATTCTGCACAGTGCTCAAGGAGCGTTCAGAGAGGGTGATTCTGTCCCTGGCCCGCCTGCCATGCCGTGTGACCTCGGCAGCCTGCTCGTCCTCTCTGGACCAAGGCGGGCTCCATGGTGGAGCAACTCAGCCTCCCAGGACAGGGTGCACATACTTTAAACCCAGCACAAGCAGCCCAATCAGGGGGAACGGGGAGGGTGGAGAGCTGTGCGTCCCCCTCTTGTACCTTCATATCTACAGGGAAATATGCAGCCCGCCGATTAAAAGCATGCGTCCGCAGGTCATGTAGTTGTGGGTGCAAAGCCCAAGCCAGCTGTTTACGAGCCTGGCTGAGCCTCAGTTTCCCCAGATCTGAAATGGTGACAATGCTTGGCATGTCACAAGTGTGCCCAAAAGGGGGAAGGGAGGGGGATGGAGGGAGGGAGGGAGAGAGAGAGAAAGAGAGAGAGAAAAAGAGAAAGAAGGAGGGAAGGAAGGGGGGGGGGGAGGGAGGAGGGAAGGAAGGAAGGGGGGAGGGAGGGAGGGAGAGAAAAGGAAAGGAAAAGGAAAGGAAAGGAAAAGAAAAAAAACAAGCCACCCCCAAATGGCCCTCGCTTCCCAGTAACAGCTGCGGAGGAAGCGGCCTCTCCGTGGAGACCATTTACGGGCTCAGTGAGGCGAGCCTGCCCCGTCTGTGCTCCTGGAGGAGGGAAGGTCCATGCCTCTTCTCAATCCCCTGGAGGCCAGGGCTGGGCCGGCTGCTGCCTGACCTGTCCACTCCTCCCCCGGGGTGGCCCTAAGACTGTGAGTTCAAATGGAGTGTGGGAGATGCTGACTTAGGGCTCCTCTGCCTCGGGGTCTTCATTCCAATGCGCTGACAGCCCTGAGTCCCTGGGGAGTCAGTGCCTGGCCCACCGAGCTCCTTCCTCCCTGCCCTGAGCCCTCAGAGGCACTACGGGCCCTCAGAGGTGTCTGACCGAGGAGTGCTGGGGGGTGGAGGTGGGGAGGCAGAGGTGGGCCTGCGCATCGCAGTACCCAGGAGGGATGCTTACGGCAGGGATCCACCCCTGCAGCATTTCCGGGGGACCACGGAGCGGGAACCTCGAGGGGCTGAGACCTGGGCAAGAGAGCTGGCGTCAGACCCCTCCCCGCCCAGGGCTCCCGGGCTGCAGGTCTGGCCCGCAGGTCTGGCCCACAGGTCTGGCTGGGATGCACAGGGCAGTGGCGGGGTGGGAGTGGGGAGACTCACCATCTTCAGCTTGTGCTGCTGCAGGATCTCATCCAGGTTCTGCCTCTTCTTGTAGTTGAAGTAGAAGTTCTTACACTGGGACACCGTCTTGGAGCCCACCATCCGGGCGATGGCCGACCAGTTCCGGCCGTGTTCCAGGAGACCTGTGTGGGGGAGGGCGGCAGGTGAGGGGCGGCAGAGGGCTGGACAGGCAGCGGGGGCCCGTACCCACAGCCTGGAGGGCAGACAGAGCCCTGGGCGAAAGCAGCCCTGATCCCGGGGCTCAGGCTCACTGCACAGGTCCAAGGTTTCCGGAAAGAGATGGCTGGGGTGGGGGACACCAGAAGGGTGTGGGAGGCCTGGGCTCCCCGGGCTGCATGGGACAGCCTGGGCTCTAGGAACTGGAAGGGCAGGTGGGTGCAGCCCTGGGTGTACCCCTGCTGAGGCCACTGTCAAGGGTTTCGGGGGCTGAGGGCTGAGGTCTGGGGCGCAGACCCCGCCCGGGGCCCCACCTCTCCTCCTCCCCTGGCTGTCTTGACCCGGCACTGACACTCGCTCGCAGCTGCAGACGAGGCCTCGGGAGACGGGCTGTTTTCCGGCCGCACCAGGCCAGAGAAAGGAAGGAACGTGTGAGCAGGGCTGGGAGGGTGGAGTCCGGCTTGGGGTGAGCTGGCCCAGGATCCCCCGCGCCCAGGTTAACTGGGGCACACCCAGGACCCAGAGCTCCCCGTGGACGCCTAAAGGCCCACCCTGGACTCGGGGCCCACCAGGCGTGGTTCAGGGTCTGGGAGTGGACTTGCCCCCCCAAATCACAACCCCCCCATCTCCATGAGCTTCTCACACAGCCTCACAGATTCCTGATGTGGGGAGAAACGCCCAGGAACTGGTAGACCCCATCCCAAATTCACCTAGGGCAGAGAAAGTTCCCTCCATCCCCACAAACTCAGGCCAGAGCTGCACCTCCAAGCCCTCTTCCGTTCTCAATGCCATAGACACCAGGCTCTGCAGAAACATCATTCCCCCAGCTCCCCTGGAAGCCAGCCCCGAGTCTCAGCCCGTCTGCCCACAGCGCTCCCAGCACACGCCTCGCACAGGCCAGCGCCTCTGCGTTTTTATGCCTTGCATCTCCAGGCAGCGCGCCTTGTGTAGACAGGTCAGCCCGAGCAGGTAGGGCCTGCCCCCTTCCTGACGGCTGCAGGAGGGGCAGATGGGAGGCTCCGGCCTCCGGGGACTGCGGGGCAGGACTGGGCCCCCAGAGGGCAGCAGGCGTGAAGCCTGAGTCACGGTGCTGGGAACACAGCGGCCTCTGAGCCCCAGAGCTAGACTCATAAGGACTAGCGAAAGATTTCCCATGAAGAAGTTTGAGGCTGTTTTCCTTGAATCAAATCAAGCTGCAAGCGGGGAGGGCTACGACGGGTGTTTCTCAGGGGCGCGGGAGCGTAAGGGGCGGACAGTCTGTGTGGCGGTATTTTCTTTCATTCATTCATCCATCCATCCATCCATCCATCCATTCATTCAAACATGTGCTGGCGGCTTGCTACCTACAAGGCTCGCACAGAAATACAACGGCAGCGAAAACACCACCAACAAACCACCAGGTCACACGGCCGAGCAACCCGGAGTTTGCAGAGCCCTGCAAAGACTTGGTTCCCTCTTCTCCCTGCTGTTGAGGCCACGGCTGTTTTCCCATCCGCAGGATGGGGGAAACCGAGGCTCCAGGGATCAGAGGAACTCACAAGCTTATGGGGTGGGCCAAGGGGCCGAGTGGACGTGGGACCCAGGTTGTCTGCTCTGGAGCCTCTGGGCCCTGGGGGGTGGGGTGCTAGACTGACAGGCCACCTGCTCCCCTGCGGAGGCCACGGGGCCACATGGCCCCAGGGCAGCTCCTCAGGGTTCCTCAAGGACAGGCACGGAGGGGAGGGCTGGGGCGTGGGATCAAGTGTAACCCAGCGCCCTGACCTTTCCCTCCGCCTGAGCCCGCACCAGCTGCCGCTTCCACAGGACCTGGCGGAGGACGACGGGGACGCGTTTATTTATATTTCCGCAGCCGGGGCCAAGAGAGCCCAGGCAAACACGCTGGGCCGGAACCCTGGCAGGGAGAGGGCGGGTCTCCCATCTGGGCCTTCTGAGGGGTAGGTATGTGGGGTGGGGTGGGGGGGCGACGAGGGCCCAGAGCCGGGGCGTGGGGGGGGGGGCGGTGTACGAACCTCAGCGAGGTTGACATTTACAGACTCAACACATAAATAAGGAGGGCGCTTGGAGCTGGCTGGGGGGTTGGGGTCCTACTTAACTCCACTGGTGGCAGAAGCAGGAGCCTGGGTGGAGGGGTCACCCGGCCCTTCCCGAAAGCTGCTCTCGAAGGAGTGCCGGACTGAGCTGTCCAGAAGCCCTGCCAAGAACGTGCTGTGTGGTCTCCGTCATCCCCTCTGCTCTCTGGGCCTCAGTTTCTTTAGCTGCTGTGTGAAGGGCTGGGGTGAATGTCCTAGCATTGCTGGCTAGGGTCCCTGGGGTGGGAGTGGACGGGCACGAGCTTCCTTCTGGTTCTGGTTCTGGTCCCGGGAACCCCAGACTGAGGGTGCCAGGCACAGGGAGATGCACTTTAGACCCCGCCATGCCTCGGAGACCACATGGACCAGACCCAGCTGAAAGTCCCCTCCCACCCTCCCGCCGACACCCCTCTACCTGGAGAGAGCACCTCTGAGCAAGCGCCAACCAAGACCCCCAAGATTCGCCCCAAGCACAGACCTCCTTCCAGGAGAGCCCCAGCCCGACAGCCTGAGAGGCAGGGGAAGGGGCACCAGGAGAAAGTGGGGGGGGGAGTATAGAACTCCCGAGTCCGCCACCCTGGGGTCCCTGTCTCCCCTGGGGTCCCCGTCACCGTGGCCCAAAGTCCCCCCCCCCATCCCAGTCCCCTCCCCGGAGCCACTCACTCACATCCTCTCATCTGCGTCTCCCCCTCCGCCAAGTTTTCCGGAAACATACGGCTTGGAGGATGCTCCAGGGATCGGAGCTGGGAGCAGCGGGCTGGGAGGCGGGAGGCTGGGCGGCCCTGGTGCCGGCTCCGCAAGGCTTCTGGCTGGCGTCTGCTGGCGGCTCAGCTCGGCCTCACATCCTTCTCGTCCAACGGCGCGAGGGAGGGAGGGAGGAGGGAGGGGCCGGGCGGTGGGAGGGCGGCAGGCGGAGGCTGGCTCCGAGGAGGGCGGGGAAGCGGCTCCGTGCTGCGCGCCGTGGTGGCCCAGGGCTCCTCCGGCGCTGCCACCCCTGAGCCGTCCCCCCCCCCCCCGCCCCAAGCTGCGGTGTGCGAGGTGCCCTTCGCCGATGCGGGCGGGCGGCGGGAAGGTGTCGGCTGTGCCAGGCGTCACCAGGGAGCACAGTGTCAGCGGCTCCTCTGGGTACCAATGTGCCCAGCGCGGGCGCTCAGCCCCCGGACCCCCGACGCCCCCGCGGGGCAGAATCCAAAGACCCCAGAGCCTCTCGGGCAGCAGCGCCCGGCAGCCTCGCTACGCGCCAGGGCTCGTCCGATCTTCCTGCTGCCTGACCCAGCGAGACGCGTCAGGGCTGAATGTGACCTCCAGACGGAGGCTCGCGGGAGGGGCGGGGGAGTGTGGCAGAAGCCCAGGTTCGGAAGGGGCGGGCCAACTTGGCACTGGCTTCCCCCTCCCTCTCTCCCCATCCGTGGCGGTGGCGGCGTCAGCAGCGGTAAGAACAGATGAGGGTTCAGAAAAACAGAGCTTCTCCACCCCGGCAGCCGGGAGCAAACAGCTTCTTCCGCTGTCATTCCCCTGCGCTGCTTCCACCTGTGGTCTGCCCCCCTCCCAGCCTGATGCTGCCATGGTGGCCAGGCCCTCCGTGGGGGGCTCTGGAGGTCTGGATGGGCTGGAAGGCGGCAGTGGGCGGGCAGGGCTAGCCTAGCATTCTAGGAGGAAGCTTAGAATTTGAGGGGACTCTTCCAAGTGCAAATGAGACCTCCAACCCCTGAGGATGGGGGGAAGGGTTTGGAGCCCGTCAGAGGGCTCTCTGCTCCCCGAGGGTCTTGGGACTACGGCGGCCTCTTTCTTCCCTCTCTGAGATATCCGTGACGACTGGGTCAGCCCGCGCCCCATACAAACACCTGCTATGGATGCCCCAGGCAGCTCCCAGGAGGTTGAAAGTTAACTGAGTTGAACTTTGGAGCGAGATCCAGGTCACGACCGATTTCTCCAACTCCGGGGTCACTGACCTGCTTGTCCCTTCAGCCCTCAGCCTTTCCATCCTGCCCAAGAAACCCAAGGAACGACAGGCCACAGGTCTCTGAAGCACCCTGATACCCCTGCTTTGCCCCCCAGCCCTCGCCCCGGGCCCTGGGGCACACCCTCCAGGGCAGGCAACAGATCCCAACCACATCAGGGATCCCGGACGTCCTGCCTGAGTCCCATGATCCGTTCTCTGCAAGGGAGGCCCAAGACGGCTTTTAAGGATGCCAATCCAGTCGTGTCACTCCTCTGCTTCAAATCTTCCAATGATGACCCAAAGCTCTTGGAATAAAATCCAAAGGCCTCAGCGTGGTGCATGAGGCTCTGCAGAGCCAGTCCTGCCCCGCTGTCCAGCCTGCTTCCTACCTCTCCCCTCGCTCCAGCCACTGGAACCTTTTCTGCCCAGCCCTTGGATGTGCCCCAGGACATTTGCACTCACTGTCCCTGCTGCCTGCATGGCTTTTTCACAGCTCTCCTTCTGTCTTCCTTCAGTTCTCAGCTTCAAGTGATACCTCCTCAAGAGAAGCCTTCCCTGACCACTCTCTCCACAGTCGTCCTCCCAGCCACCCTGCCATCATGGGGTTTTGTTATCTCCAGAGCACTTATCACTCCCTGAAATTAGCTCCTTGGCTCCACTGGTCGTGGACAGCCGTGTCTCTGCACCCACAACTGCTAGGCGTGCAGGAGGCATTAGGCAAATGGACAAAACTCCAGACACCCTGGGTATCTGGGTTTGGGAGCCCTCTGGGCATCCCCCCCAGGCATCTCCGCTACCTCTCTGGGGCTCCCAATTAGGAGCTCCAAAGAGAGGAGGGAGCTGAGCAGCTTATCCCCCGGGGGGGTCCTGGGCCCTCCCCTCCCCAGAAGACACGTCAGGGAGTGCCCGCCTCTCTCCACACACACTCTGTGCAGGTGCCCCAGGCGGCAGATTC